CACAGAGAGAGAGACACACACAGAGAGAGAGACACACAGAGAGAGAGAGACACACACAGAGAGAGACACACACAGAGAGAGAGACACACACACAGACACGCACACAGAGAGACAGAGAGACACACACACATAGAGAGAGACAGAGAGAGACACACACGTCCCAGGTTTATGTCAGGGGGTTCTAAAAATAACCCACATTAAGTGAAATCCTTGAAGTAACAACTCCATGTTTTATGAGACCAGAGAGAGAGACCAGAGAGAGAGAGACCAGAGAGAGAGAGACCAGAGAGAGAGAGACCAGAGAGAGAGACCAGAGAGAGAGACCAGAGAGAGAGAGACCAGAGAGAGAGAGACCAGAGAGAGAGAGACCAGAGAGAGAGAGACCAGAGAGAGAGAGAGACCAGAGAGAGAGAGAGACCAGAGAGAGAGAGACCAGAGAGAGAGAGACCAGAGAGAGAGAGACCAGAGAGAGAGAGACCAGAGAGAGAGACCAGAGAGAGAGACCAGAGAGAGAGACCAGAGAGAGAGACCAGAGAGAGACCTGGTCTCTCCCTCTCCGGTCTCTCCCGCTCCGGTCTCTCCCTCTGGTCTCTCCCTCTCTGGTCTCTCCCTCTCTGGTCTCTCCCTCTCTGGTCTCCCTCTCTGGTCTCCCTCTCTGGTCTCCCTCTCTGGTCTCTCCCTCTCTGGTCTCTCCCTCTCTGGTCTCTCCCTCTCTGGTCTCTCCCTCTCTGGTCTCTCCCTCTCTGGTCTCTCCCTCTCTGGTCTCTCCCTCTCTGGTCTCTCCCTCTCTGGTCTCTCCCTCTCTGGTCTCTCCCTCTCTGGTCTCTCCCTCTCTGGTCTCCCTCTCTGGTCTCCCTCTCTGGTCTCCCTCTCTGGTCTCCCTCTCTGGTCTCCCCTCTCTGGTCTCTCCCTCTCTGGTCTCTCCCTCTCTGATCTCTCCCTCTCTGGTCTCTCCCTCTCTGGTCTCTCCCTCTCTGGTCTCTCCCTCTCTGGTCTCTCCCTCTCTGGTCTCTCCCTCTCTGGTCTCTCCCTCTCTGGTCTCTCCCTCTCTGGTCTCTCCCTCTCTGGTCTCTCCCTCTCTGGTCTCTCCCTCTCTGGTCTCTCTCTCTGGTCTCCCTCTCTGGTCTCCCTCTCTGGTCTCTCTCTCTGGTCTCTCTCTCTGGTCTCTCTCTCTGGTCTCTCTCTCTGGTCTCTCTCTCTGGTCTCTCTCTCTGGTCTCTCTCTTATACTGAGACACATTGCCGCCTTTCCCATGGTCAAAAGTCAACACGGGTCCAAACAACACACCAGCCTTTCCCACTGTTTGCAGGTCTGACCAATACCAGATGTACACATTCTGTACAGTTGTTTTGAGATGGTTTTTAAAATAAGAAATGGTGGAAAATATACTCACAGATAAAGGAGGGAAGAGATAGAGGATAGAAGGTAGGAGATAGGAGGTAGGAGATACAGTAGGAGATAGAGGTAGGAGATACAGTAGGAGATAGAGGTAGGAGATACAGTAGGAGAAAGGAGGTAGGAGATACAGTAGGAGATACAGTAGGAGATAGGAGGTAGGGGATAGGAGGTAGGAGAAAGGAGGTAGGAGATACAATAGGAGGTAGGAGATAGGAGAAAGGAGGTAGGAGATACAGTAGGAGATAGGAGGTAGGAGATACAGTAGGAGATAGGAGGTAGGAGATACAGTAGGAGGTAGGAGATACAGTAGGAGATACAGTAGGAGATAGGAGATAGGAGGTAGGAGAAAGGAGGTAGGAGATACAGTAGGAGATAGGAGGTAGGAGATACAGTAGGAGGATAGGAGGTAGGGGATACAGTAGGAGATGGGAGATACAGTAGGAGATAGGAGGTAGGGGATAGGAGGTAGGAGAAAGGAGGTAGGAGAAAGGAGGTAGGAGATACAGTAGGAGATAGGAGGTAGGGGATAGGAGGTAGGAGAAAGGAGGTAGGAGATACAGTAGAAGATAGGAGGTAGGGGATAGGAGGTAGGAGAAAGGAGGTAGGAGATACAGTAGGAGATAGGAGGTAGGAGATACAGTAGGAGATAGGAGGTAGGAGATACAGTAGGAGATAGGAGGTAGGGGATAGGCGGTAGGAGAAAGGAGGTAGGAGATACAGTAGAAGATAGGAGGTAGGGGATAGGAGGTAGGAGAAAGGAGGTAGGAGATACAGTAGGAGATAGGAGGTAGGGGATAGGGGATAGGAGGTAGGAGAAAGGAGGAAGGGGATAGATGAGAGGTGGTAAGAGATAAGAGATAGGTGGTAGTTGGTAGTAGAGAGTAGGGAGCAGGGAGCTGGTAGTAGGGAGTAGGTAGTAGGTAGTAGGTAGTAGGGAGCAGGGAGTAGGTAGTAGGGACCGGGGGCAGGTAGTAAGGAGTAGGTAGTAGGTAGTAGGGAGTAGGGAGTAGGAAGCAGGGAGTAGGTAGTAGGGAGCAGGGAGTAGGTAGTAGGTAGTAGGGAGCAGGGAGTAGGTAGTAGGTAGTAGGTAGTAGGGACCGGGGGCAGGTAGTAAGGAGTAGGTAGTAGGGAGTAGGAAGCAGGGAGCAGGGAGTAGGGAGTAGGGAGCAGGGAGCAGGAAGTAGGTAGTAGGAAGTAGGTAGTAGGGAGCAGGGAGCAGGTAGTAGGTAGTAGGGAGTAGGGACTAGGTGGGAGTAGGTAGTAGGGAGTAGGTGGGAGTAGGTAGAAGGGAGTAGGTAGTAGAGAGTAGAGAGTAGGGAGTAGGAATTAGGAAGTAGGAAGTAGGTAGTAGGGAGTAGGTACTAGGGACTAGGTAGCAGAGAGTAGGGAGCCGGTAGTAGGTAGTAGGTAGTAGGGAGCAGGGAGTAGGTAGTAGGGAGTAGTGAGCCGGTAGTAGGTAGTAGGTAGTAGGGAGCAGGGAGCAGGGAGTAGGTAGTAGGGAGTAGGGAGTAGGTAGTAGGGAGTAGGGAGCAGGGAGCAGGGAATAGGTAGTAGGGAGTAGGGAGTAGGTAGTAGGGAGTAGGGAGCAGGGAGCAGGGAATAGGTAGTAGAGAGTAGAGAGTAGGGAGTATAGGGAGCAGGGAGCAGGTAGTGGGTAGTAGGGAGTAGGGAGTAGGTAGTAGGGAGTAGGGAGTAGTTAGTAGAGAGTAGGGAGTAGGCAGTAGGGAGTAGGTAGTAGGTAGTAGGGAGTAGGGAGCAG